TGCGCAAGGTTTGTTTTTTTCACCGCTCCCCCCTGCAAAAAAACTGATCGTCCTCAATCGCGACCGCTCAGACCGCCATCATTGCAACGATCGGTGAAACCGACGCTTATAGGCTCCTGCTGCTGTGAATTTACTTGCTCCTCAGGTCCTAACACCAACAGCGTCGAGAAATTGTCCGAGCTTCGTCGCGCTGGCGTCAATGTCGGTTCGTGCTGTCGCTGCTGGCCTTTCCCCTTCATCTCAGTATACGTATGCAGTCCGCATGAACTTCTCCCATGGAGAGTATTCTTACCACCAGAGTGTCATCGATAACACCAGGAAGGCCGTTGCGGGTATGTCCTTACCATACTTCCTTCGTCTTGGCAATGAGATAACGAGAGCCTTACAGCCGATCCTGCTGGTCGCCCCATGGCAATCGCGTTGGATACCGTGCGGACATTTGCCTGCGAACATTGTGATCGTCTCTTAACTCTTTACTTCCGCACAGAAAGGACCGGAGATCCGCACTGGTGTGACCAGAAACGGTGTCGACGTGCGTACATTCCATTTTGACCGGTTGCCGTCGGCTTACTTGGCCCTCTCAGTGGAAAATTTCTGCTGGACATGAGTTCATCATCTCCACCGACGAGCAATACAAAGAGAGCTGTGATGATCAGGTCATGTTCGTTGACTATGTCCGTAACACCGTCTTCTCTTTTCCAAGGATTGCATTCTGACGGAGTGCTAGGCCAACCTGCCCAAAGTCACCGCCCCAGGAAAATTGATCTACGTCGACGATGGTCTGTTTTTGGCCAAGATCAGCACCACTTGACCTCATTCATCCACTCAGGTATCCTGTCACTGCTCGTTCTGAGCATTGAGGGAGCCAACGTGCGCGTACGTGCCGTCAACAACGGAGCGATCTGCTCTCGCAAGGGTGTCAACCTTCCCAAGACCGATGTTGATCTCCCTGCCCTGTCCGAGAAGGACAAGCGCGATTTGCTCTTCGGCGTTAAGAACGGAGTCGACATGATCTTCGCCTCCTTCATCCGACGGGCCCAGGATGTGAAGGACATCCGCACTGTGCTTGGCCCCGACGGTGCCAACATCAAGATCATCTGCAAGATTGAGAACGAGCAAGGAGTCGCCAACTTTGACGAGATTCTTCGCGAGACGGACGGAATTATGGTGGCCCGTGGTGATCTTGGTATCGAAATCCCTGCCAGCCAAGTCTTCCTTGCCCAGAAGATGATGATCGCGAAGTGCAACATTGTTGGAAAGCCTGTTATCGTTGCTACTCAGATGCTCGAAGTGAGTGCCCATATGCTTCTATCACGCGGGATCTAATGTGTTCGTGCTCAGTCCATGACGGTAAATCTTCGACGTCTCGTTCTAGGGGCTAGGTCTGATTGTTATAGTACAACCCCCGTCCGACGCGTGCTGAGGTCAGCGATGTTGCCAACGCTGTTCTTGACGGTGCCGACTGTGTCATGCTCTCTGGAGAGACTGCCAAGGGTTCATACCCCATTCAGTCTGGTGCGTGGTCGGTGCTAGGCTTCGTGGCTGCGACCTACGCGCCTGCGGGATAATTGAGACGTACTGAATGTTTGTGCAGTGCTGATGATGGCGGAAACCTGTTTGCTCGCCGAAGCTGCCATCTGCTACCCGCCGCTCTACGCAGAGTTGACTGCCGTTCAGACCCGGCCAACTCAGACGGTTGAAACGGTCGCTATCGCTGCAGTGGCTGCCGCTTCCGAGCAGAACGCCAGTGCCATTCTCGTGCTGTCGACGAGTGGTAACACTGCCCGTCTCATCTCCAAGTATCGCCCCAAGGTTCCGATCATCACCGGTTTGTTCTCCATGATCTCCGCTGATCCATCATGCTGACAAGTGGGCAGTGAGCCGCAACGAGCAGACCACTCGGCAGATTCACCTGCACCGCGGCTGCTATCCGTTCTGGTACCCGGAGCCTCGAGGTGTCCAAGACCACCAGTGGCAGATCGATGTCGACAACCGCATCCGGTTTGGTCTGCGCAATGCCATGAACCTCAAGCTGGTTGCGCCGGGAGCGACTATCATTGCTGTGCAGGGATGGAAGGGCGGTCTGGGACACACCAACACCATGCGTGTTCTCACTGTCCCCGAGGTGGCTGACTTGGAGATGCTGCCTCTCACTGCTTGAATAAAGAAATTGCATTTGTAGAACCGAATATTAGCTGTACTTTTTTACGCCAAGCCAATCAATATAGAAGTCACGTTGATGGGAAATCTGATCATGTCGCGATTTTGGTCTCAGCCCGCGTCCACTGCATGTCCTTCACCAAAAGACGCAGCGGAAGTATCAGAGGGCGCTTGCCACACTTTTCCTCCGTAATTCAAGAGAAGTATCATGGCCGCCATCCACCATGGTTCGTGCCCTACGCCATGGGCATCCCGGGCCGTGCGCGACCTCTCAAGGTGTGGATTCTCAACCCGACGCGGGTACACCAATCCAGTATCTCCACATTCGGTCCCAAGAAGGGCTTGCTCGTCCTATTCCTATTCGTCGCGGGCACTCTGGTCGTGACGACATTTGCGGTGACGAGGTGGTTCGGGCCAAAGGAGCAGTCATGGCCAGTCTTCACCAGTGATCCACCCACGCTCGTCTTCCATCGCGAAGACATTGCCAGGATATGGTCGTGGGAGATTAAAAGCGGGCATTATCCTAGCAGGAGACGAAGTACGTGACACCGCCGATCGTCTTGCTCAACCGTAATGCTCAGCGCGTCTGGCAGTACCTCAACAGGTCGGCCTGAACGAAACATTCGACAACCCCGCCCTTCCGCCTCGGCGCGCGACTTTCCAACCCGTATCCACGTCCCGGCCGGGCTTGGTGTCACAATAACGCGCGGCGTTGGGGCGAGGCGAGTATATTTGGACGTTCAAAGTCAGCCCCCACATGTCGCATATCCTCCAAGGTAAGATATCGGTGCTCGAGCGTTGGCATCCCTATCTCAACTTCTTGTGCGCTAGACCTGTGCCAGGAAGTATCGCCGATTTGGACATCGGTACGTGGGCGACTTCTCACACATGGTTCTGACTGGACTCGCATCTAGTCATGGAACATTGCGACTTCTCGGAAAACAAGGTGAGCTACCTTTCGAAAGAACATCGAGCCGTGGCGGTTTACACGGAAGGTGTAGTATGTTCGAGACTGCCTCGAGGTTCTGCGGGTCGGTGCCGGACTCGATAATGGAAGACGCCTCAGGAGAGGCAAAATGCAGGACTTCCAGTACATTTTCGTCGAACAAACTGATCCCGAAGACGCGCCTGCTATATTGGACGACCAGAAACCGTTGATCGCACCCTTGATCACAGAATCGGCGTCGGAAACACTGTCAGACGTTGGGTTGGTCAAGAAAAAAGGGATTGCTTGGGAGGTTCCTCCGATAGCGCTTGCACAAGAGCGCCCATACAAGACACATTCTACTTCCGGCGAGCCCTGTGATCCTGAAAACCCGCGCTATTTCCATCTGTTCTGGACTGGGCCGTTCACAGACAAACCGTATCTAGCTCTGCTCAGTTTTTTGTTCACCCAAAACACGGGGCTCAGTGCGCAGGATAGCCAGGAGAGTCTCGTTTGCCGACCGAAGTTCTTGCTTTGGATCAATCCGGGCCCCGCTGCAGCCATGCCTAATCCGTCGGCGCGCCGAGAGATGTTCGACGGGCTCAAGGCGAATCCGTGGGCTGCGCCGTTCCTGCACCCCCGATTCAAGGATGTGATCGAGTTTAGGCTGTGGAACACAACCGAACAGTTGGACGGGGTCAAGGAAATCGCTGGAGACTGGCGCAGGCACGATCTCTTCAACTCCGGTGGACATATCATCAGTGTGCCCGCTAAGCATAGCGCAGAAACGTCCGCGGCATCAGCGTCGGATCCTACGGAGCCTGTTATCACCGCCAAAACCGAAGGCAACGACATGCTCAACAGGATAGGGTCCAAGTCTTCAAGCTCGTACGACCGCCTCAGTGTGATCCTTTCGGACATGGCACGCTTTATCCTGTGTCACAGGTGTGTTTGATTGTGACCTTTTCGTTGGTTGGTTCACTCAGTTCTAGATATGGCGGCATATATCTTGATGCCGACACACTTTTGCTTCGTGATTGGGAGGAACTGTGGGGATGGAGGGGTGGTGCGCTCAAATTCCTGGGTTCTTGCTGTTCTTGTCCTAATCACTTCGTTGCAGCCTATGCATACCGCTGGAGTCGACTGGAAAAATACAACACCGCTGTGCTGCATCTGAACAAAGGCTCGGCGCTTGGAACGTTCCTATTTCGAACTGCGCTGAAGAACAATCTTGGTGCGTGCTGTCCCGCGGGCGAGGCTATGGCTAATCCTGTGGTAGATTTCCATCCTATGACCGTCTCCAGATATCTCAAGGAAGCACATCTTGAAGGGTTACTCCTGCGACTCCCCGATGCTTTGTTTGATTCGGCCTGGCTCAGCACAGAGTATTATCAGTGGAAGCGACCGCCGCAGCCGTTCTTCACAGAGTTAGAAACTTGCAATCCGTTGCACTCTGCGCTCATATAACCTATCGTAGCTTTGGCGATTTCTTCGACACGCCTCCAGAGTCCAGTGCTGCTCCCCATGCATTGGGCTTCGACGGTTTTTTCAAGGGTGCATTCTCATATCACTTCCATAATTATTGGTCAGTTGCGCTCGTTGATCCTGGCTTGCAGTCCTGATTTCTACCCAGGTGGAAGCCTTTCGACCCAGCGCGCAATTGGCCAGATCTCGGACCCCGATTCAAAGCAGGAGAGGATGCTGCACGGCTCAAAGCCATGGCCGCTGTGACCAGCACCCCGCAGCAGTCGGCGACTACTATGGCTTCTCCGGCCGAGGTCGAGGACGAAGCCGATCAGCGGGATTTAGATTGGTCGACTGTCATGAAGAGGACGTTTGAGGCCTACGTCCGAGGAGAGCGGCAAGTCAATCCACTTCTAGTCTTGGCAGATTTGCTCATCGTTGAGGTACAGGCCATCGATGTATGGAGAGTGGATCCAGTGGTAGCTGGAAGTGTAGTATACATAGTAGATCATCATAATAATCTCATCGCGGAAAATACCATCATGTGTTTCTATGCTGCTGACTGGAATTTGGCTTGCGCGGTGTTTACCGCCATCTTAAGAGCGGATATCACGCCTTCTGGGTCTTGAGCACCGAAGATGGCGGTCCCTGCAACGATCACATTGCTCCCTACATATCGAGTCACTTGTTGTAGGATTGATCCTGTGAGACGAAACGCACCTGCGTGAGCACAAACGTCGATAGTGCTCGGACCGACACCACCGTCCACCTCGATGTCCTTCTCGGGGAAACGGGCGCGGAGCTCGGCAACCTTCGGAACACAACGTTCAAGGAACTTCTGCCCGCCACGACCTAGTGAACGCACGGTCGAATTCGGCCTCGTTCGGGAAATGATGCACATACCGGGGTAAACGGTCATCACCAAAAGCATGTCCGCAGCGTTGGCGACCTCATCCGTGATTGCACTCGATGGGGTGTCGGGCGAGATGGCAATGCCAGCCTTCATCTTCCGTGCATGGATCGCGTTAATAAGGGACAGAGGGTCGCCTGCACACCGGAAGGTCAGCGACGTCCCGGGGAGACATGTAACGCGGAAACAGTACTCGTCGCCTCATAATGAAAGCAGTATAGGGCTCCTCCAGCGGCAGCGATGTCATCCACCCACTTGGCAGAATTCGTCAAGATCTAATGAACGTCGGAGGGATGACTGCAGAATAACCTTCTCGGGTTCGGCGACCATCATGTGGCAGTCCATGAATATGCCGGGAACGCCTTTGGAGACGCAAGCAAGGATCGGTGCACCTTTGCGCGTTTCATTGAACACAACCATTTGATGCACTCGACTTGGACACGCTCACCCATAGTGATGTTGGGCACGAAGTGTCCGTCCATCACGTCCATGTGCAGCCATTCCGCCCCGCCTTTCATCATCCGCTTACATTCTGCAGTAAGCTGCCCAAAATCGGACGCGAGCACGGAGGGTGAGATGATAGCGCGAGGCATGATCAGCGGATATCGATGAGGTAAACACGGCCAAGCACCTTGGCAACCGATCATTTGAGGATTTCGCGCTTGGACCATGACGTCATGCATATGAAACCTCTCATTTGAAACTCGTACTCAAGTGTTCAGCTGACGTGTTGGAATATATGCTGTAGGATTGATGCCGCGGACTGACTGAGCCCTCCTGAGCCGGATCCTGTATCTCTCCGTGTAAATCATGCGTCGGAAAATCCCCGCAACATAGCCGAAGAACGACGTCATTGATGCGCTCCATTGGTTACGACTGACATACATATTTAAATACCCCGCAGCCACACGCGTCGACCTCCACTTTTTCTGTCTCTTCTTTTACGACCGTCATGTTCTTCACCAAGCATATCACGATCCTCCTCCTGGCTGCTGCTGCTAGCGTCAGTGCTGCTCCCCAAAGTGCGTGCTCCTTTGACGCTGTGATGGCTCCTGAACCCAACCTCTCGCAGTCGACAGCATATTCAACAGCATCACTTCGGACATCGTATCTGTAGCGACACAAGTGGCATCCGGTGCTGAGTCTGTCGGTACCGTCGTCGCTACCGGTGCCGAGTCTGTCGGCACCGTCATTGCCAGCGGTGCCAAATCCGTCGGCACTCAGGTCGCGAGCGGAGCGGAATCTGTGGGAACACAGATTGCGAGCGGTGCTCAGGGAGCTTTCCAGACCGTGACATGTACGTTTCCCTGTCTCGAATATGACAGTGCTGGTTACTCACCGTTCAACCCTTTGCCCAGCTGCCGGCGGACACGCTGTGACAGTTGTGACTTCAGTGGGAGGTGAAGCAATCACGCTCGCCGCCTCGGGAGCGGGCCGACTCACCACCTTCGCCGGCTCCGTTTACAACGCCGCCACCAGTGCTGCGGGCTCTGCAGCCACCGGAAACGCTGGTGTCACTCTTGCCGCTTCACCAAGCCTATTCGTTGGCTTGGCATCCGTGCTCGCAAGCATTTGCGTCGGCGCCATGGTAGTTGTCTGAAGGCATATTCTATTTGCTACCTGTGGACTTGAGGGACTTCTAATTTCGACACTTATTTTACCCTATAATTCAAAGAGAGTGCTCGATTGGTGAATAAGAAATTTGCTGTGTAACTCTGCTCATCAGGCATCAGACCAATGCACTATAACTCCCCACCCCACACATTGAGTCTCTTTCATGATACATTCACGAACACGCGGAAACGAAAACCATGAACTTGACACTTGAATTACGAGCGAGGCAGAACGATAGTCACACCTTTGCAATCAGCATCTGAGCGTTATAGCAGGACATCTAATTCTCCAATTATATACTACTGGGGCCGGAAAATTTTGCCAGGATTTGCGCCAAAGGACAGAGCCCTGCCTGACAAGATCCCAAGCTTCTGGGCTGCAAGGCTAAGCGGTGCTGGTCAAATACCATCAGGGGTGAGGATCTGCCAACCTGATAAAGTGGTCCCATCTGTATACCATAGTGCGCCAGAGTCCGACGGTTCGAATCACGCGCGGACACAAGTCGAGGGAGAAATTTGTTCAAAGACCACACACGTCATGGAATGGCTTTGATTTCGATGACGGTTGGCCAATTGACCCCAATCTGGGCAAGATTCTGCTCAACAAAATTTGAGAAATTTGATATTTTGGCGCTAACCTGAACAGGGTCAAATATAGATCCTATTATACCACCTGGGTTTTTCTCAACACAGTATGTAGGTCGGGCAGGGACCGGACGCAGGACAAACGCCGCCGATACAACCCCTTCTGATGCTCCTTCTGATGCATCTGATGGCAGGCACAGCAATTTGAACTAGTTCAACAGGTTCGTGTACCACTTTTTGCACCCCCCTCGTCTGTGATTGGCTGGAAAATGAGGGTCTAGAGGGTGCTCTAGTCACCCAGACTGATCCAGACACTTGATGAATGGATGCTAATCAGGGTGGAACCAGTCCCGCTCTCTCCATTTACAATGCGAGCAATGCCATTGGCGGGCGCGCTCACACCACCCGCGAGGAGCAGGGCAACGTGAATGAGCCTGAGAACACAGAAACGCGAACTGGTTCACCTCAGAGTGTATAAATCCTTGCGTCCAGCCATGCAAGTCGACCAACACACAATGAACATCGCACAGTCCTGTCTCCGATGTGGCCACCACCATCTGGAGGGCACCCCTCATTTCCCTACTACACCGGACCGGACTGCGATCATGTCTGCATACATGGCCGCGCTGCAGACGCGCGAAGACAGCGACGAGGCCGAGTCCAGTGACGAGAGCGGCGACGAGTCCAGCTCCGACATCGACTTCGACGAGCCCTCAATGTTGGAGGGCGTCCAGCTCGACGTGCCACACCCAGATGACATCACCACCGACGACTCGGCATTCAGCAGCGACGACGAGTTCGCCAGCGAGCAGAACAAGCTTCAACAGAGAACGCGTCGCGAGGTACGGACTCATACATCATCCTCCGCCCCGCGACGCTGTCGAGACTGACAATAACCATCTAGCTCGCGTTGGGTCGGCCGACCTCGGCCATACTCGCCATGCGACCAAAGGAGCTTGCGCGCATGCAACTGTCGTACATGAAACAGCTCGACGACGCCGACGAGGAGATATCTGAGCTGACTGGAACGACGCATCAACCGATACCCCGAAACCGAGATGAGCCGATTCTCGACGGCCAAGGCAAAGATGGAGACCAGTTTGTCCTGGCGCTGCGTCAGAGGTCAGACAAGGCGGTGATGAACATGGAGGCTCGTTCCGAGAGCATCCTGCAGCTGGTTGCCCTCGCCCAAGCCTTGTTCCGCAAGGAGCGCCAGGCTAAGCATATGCAGGGCTGAGTATCACGCCGTAGATATCATCTATCGGACGAAATTGTATTTGGCGATGTGATTGATGCACATGATCGTAATCTAGTCCTCAATGGTCATGTCTCGCTGCATCTAGAATACGCTTGTTTAATCGGGCCGGAACGGGCGGGACTGAGCGCGACTCACCGATGAGTTGAAGAACAGCGAGTTCATGCCCCACGGGAAAGGCTTGTTACGCTTGTTGAGGTACTCGAAGCGAGGCGGTTGGGGGAGCTTTCCATCGTTTTCAGCCATCAGGTGAGCGTTGTGCGCCTTATGCTCGATTTCCACGTTGTAGACGTAGGTACCAAAGATTGCAACTAGCCAGACAACGTCAGGTAAATATGACGGAGAGGCCGGAAGATAACGGACGGGCAGGAATGCAGACATAGTAGCTGGAATGACTTCAGTCCCACAAGCGAATACTCGGGCGGATGAAACCCACCTCATCTTCCGCCATAATTCAGCTGTAGCTGAGAGAAACGTTGAGCCCCTTCGATCGGGAAGAACAGGAAGGACATGTAGATTTACACAGCGCATGGTGTTCGATAGCTTGCTGGTTAGCAAGCCATTGAGCACGGGCCTGCTCAACAGCAGTCTCGGAGTAGGCCCGCACAGCAGGGGAGGACCGGAGGAGTGCTCGGCGTGGAAGGAAAGACATGTTTGTGTGGTCCTGATTGGAGCCACCAGCTTGACGCCATCAATTCGACGCGAGCTGACGCGTCCTTCTCTCAACTCGAAAGTACCTACCCACCTCCATCACCATGGTCCGTCAGTCGTCTGCTGCTGGTGTACTTGCCCTCCTTTCGGAACCGGACCCCGTATTCAAACAACACGCTCTCGACGCGCTCAATCCGCTCGTTCCGCATTTCTGGGCAGAAATTTCAGAGCACATTGCTCTTATGTGCGTTTATCTCCAACTGTCTCGCATCCTTCACTCATCTAACATCAGTGAGTCTTTGAATGAGAATGAGACTCTTCCTCAGAAAGCCCGTGACTCCGCTGCGTTGCTGGCTAGCAAAGTCTATTACTATCTGGGAGAATACGACGAGGCGCTTTCTTTCGCTCTGGGTGCTGGATCTGTTTTCGAAGCTGAAACTCGTGCCTCTGGATCGGAGGAATACGTCGAAACTGTGCTGTGTACGTGTCCTAGTCCTTTCACGGTCGTTCGCACTGGTTTAACGTTGCTTTTCTACCACAGCTAAAGCTATCGACCGCTATATTGGAGCTCGCAGCGAAGAGAAGATCAAGTCCGAGAAGGTCGATCCCCGACTGCAGTCCGTGGTGGAAAACATATTCCTGCGGTGTATCGAGGAACGCGAGCTCAAGCAGGTGTGTGGTTCCAACGCGAGTGGATTTATTTGCTCAAATGCAATCTATCCAGGCGATCGGCATTGCGTTGGAGTCCCGAAGACTGGACGTGATCTCCCGTATATATTCCCAGACGAACGATACTTCCCTGCTGTCCTACGCGATGGAGGGCGTATTAGACGCGGGTTTCTCCTTGTCCTACCGCGACGAAGTCCTGACCTTCCTGTTCCCCCTCTTCCCGAAACCAAAGGCTGGCGACAACTCCCCCCACGTCCATTCGATTACGAGGTTACTGGTCACACTCAGTAATCCATCACTTACTGTGCCGTACATCACTTCCCTGGTGCCTCAAGAGAAGCTGGTAGCATACCAGTTTGCATTCGATCTCGTCGAAGGTGGATCGCAAGATTTCTTGGAGAGTGTGAGGAACGATCTCCCCGATGGTGATTCGGTGCGTAGTGTCAAATACCCTCCGCGAATCGGTGCTAAAGATCTTCCAGCAGACAAAAGACGTCTACGACAAGCTTCGCAATATCTTGACAGGACAGGAATCGGTCAAGTTGTATCTCCAATTCCTAAAGCGAAACAACCAAACCGATCTCCTCATTCTCCGACACACCAAGGTCTAACCTCATCTTTGTTCATCCACTTTGTGCTGAATTAGACTCCAGGACGTACTAGAATCTCGCTCATCTGTCTATCACACAGCCCTCACCCTCCAAAACGCCTTCATGCACTCCGGCACGACCTCTGATGTCTTCTTGCACGAGAATCTAGACTGGTTAGGTCTGGCATCGAATTGGTCCAAATTTTCCGCGACAGCAGCTCTTGGAGTCATTCATAAGGGTTATTTCGAACAGGGGATGACTATCGTTGGGCCTTATCTTCCCCAGTCCAATGGAGAGAGCAACATCCAGGGTGCTGCGTACTCCGAGGGTGGTGCACTGTATGCTTTGGGTCTTATCAATGCGGGTTGTGGAGGTTCAGTGATTGGCTATTTACGAGACACTTTGAAGGCTGCACAAGGAGAAGTTGTGCAACACGGTGCAGCTCTCGGGCTCGGTGTTGCAGCAATGGGGTCCAAGAGCACGGATGCGTTCGAGGATCTGAAGAACACTCTTTTCCAGGACTCCGCAGTTGCTGGTGAAGCCTGTGGCTACGCCATGGGGCTAATCATGCTGGGCACCGCAATGGCCGATGCTGTTCGGGAGATGCTGATGTACGCGAGAGAGACGCAACACGAGAAGATCATCCGAGGTCTTGCTGTCGGTGTCGCATTCATCTTCTATGGTCGTCAAGAAGAGGCCGACGAGACCGTCAAGCTGTTGTTGGCTGAAAAGGTGAGTTTGCTCACAGTGGGATCGTCTCAGTCAATTCATTTCGCACCTTCAGGATCCTATCCTTCGATATGGTGGTGTCTACACATTGGCATTGGCCTATGCCGGCACTTCGGATAACGAAGCTGTACGACAGCTCTTGCACATTGCCGTGTCAGACACTTCGGACGATGTTCGACGGGCTGCGGTGACGTCTTTGGCTTTCTTGCTTTTCAAGAATCCAGTTCAGGTTCCAAGGATCGTCCAGCTGTTGAGTGAGAGCTACAATCCTCATGTAAGATGTGGTGCTACGCTGGCTTTGGGAATCGCCTGCGCTGGAACTGGGTTACAGGTAGGCCCTGTTCATGTCAGTTGCTGGAACTGGCTGAGGCAGCCTCCAGGATGCGGTTGAAATCTTGGAGCCGATGACCAAGGACAGCGTCGACTTTGTCCGTCAGGGCGCTTTTATTGCACTGGGTATGGTGCTCGTGCAACAATCCGAAGCGTCGTCGCCCTCGCTCTCGTCGACGCGTGCACTGTATACCAAGGTGGTATCTGATAAGCACGAGGATCCTATGGCTCGATTTGGTGCAGCAATCGGGCAAGGCTTCATCGACGCCGGTGGTCGCAACGTGAACATCAGTTTACAGAGTCGAGCAGGCAGTAAAAACACCAACGCCATCGTCGGCATGGTCATGTTCTGCCAGTTCTGGTATTGGTATCCTCTTGCCCACTGCGCCTGCCTGGCTTTCGATCCTACCGGCATTATTGGCCTGAACGCTGACCTCAAGGTGCCCAGATTCATGTTGCTCTCCACAACTGCTCTAACACCCCGGGCAGGTCCCTAAATTCGACTTCACTTCGAATGCTCGTCCCAGTCTATTTGCGTACCCTCCCACGACCAAACCTCCGAAGAAGGAGACAGTCTCGAAGGTTGCGACAGCTGTGTTATCGACCACTGCCAAGGTTAAGGCCCGAGAAAAGAAGAAGGCTGCGACCGACGAAAATGCGATGGACACTGTGAGTAGCTATTGATGGCCGCTGGATTGCACTAATACGTTACAGGATGACAAGAAAGAGACGGACGACGTCGAGATGAAGGGTGCAGACGAGACAGCTAAGGATCCCGGAGAGATTTCCCCCATCACTGGCCCGTTATCCTCTCTGCCTGATGACAAGGCCTCGACGAAACCAGTGAAAAAGGCCGAGCCGTCATCTGAAACGCTATCCAATTTGTCTCGAGTGACGCCCGCCCAGCTGGGCTACATCTCTTTCCCTCCCGACGGCCGCTTCCAGCCTGTGCGAGCTGTTTCAGCTCGGCCTGTTTCTCGAGGGGGCAAATCGACTGTCACCAGCAAGTTGCCTAGTTCTGAAAAGTACGCATCGGGTGGATGCATCCTCATCATGTCGGATCTGCGACCAGATGAGGAGGTTGAGTTGATCGACTTTGAGCCCGCAGCCCCAGTGGCGGTGGCTGGCGCTGAACCAGCTATTGCTTCTCAAAGCACACCAGCAGCATCCACGGGACCTCATATATCGCTAGACGAGTCCAGTCCGGAAGTGGGTCCCCCAGAGCCATTCGAGGTGAGTTCTTACGGGTCTTTCACATCTCCGTTGCTGACTACAGTCCAGTATCCTTTCGATAACGATTCATGAATCATTCTAATGTAGTCTCAATCAATTCCTTTGCATCATTACTAAGCATTCTGCTCGTTGTGCTTCTCGATAACATCCATGTTACGCGTGGCGATTCTGGACGATTACCAGCGCGCTGCGCTCCAGTATGCTGACTGGACCGTTATCCAAAACCGGGTCTCTATCGACGTCTATACGGATGCCATCGCAGACGAAGATCTGCTCGTGGAACGACTGGCCGGGTATGATGTAGTTTGTACAATGAGAGAACGAACCAAATTCAGAGCCTCTCTGCTCGATCGACTCCCGAAGCTGAAGTGAGTCTTGTGTGATGGAGCAGCGATATATTGCTTAGCTCCAGGCTTCTTACCACGACCGGGATGCGTAACTTTGCTATCGATACGATACATGCGAAGCAACGCGGGATTGTTGTCTCTGGGACGAAATCGTCCTCCACCTCCACTCTAGAACACATCTGGGCTGCAAGTACATTCCCATACCCAAAGGCAATCGAGGGTCCGATAACTTATCGTCAGATGATCTTGGCCACGGTCCGACATATCACAACTGAAGATGCTAGTATCAAAGCCAAAAATCCTCAGTGGCAGTCCTTGGTTCCGACAGGATTGTCAGGCAAGACGCTGGGCCTCATTGGTCTCGGACGACTGGGCTCTCAGACAGCCCAGGTTTGAGTTTTCTCATCTCCGCAAAGGAACTGGATGTTCACTTGGAGATAGATCGCCAAGATTTTCAACATGCGGGTGGTTGGCTGGTCCCCCAATTTGACTTCAGAGAGGGCCGATCAGGCGGGAGTCGAGTTTGCACCGTCGAAAGAAGACTTGCTGAAGCAGAGCGATATCGTTTCACTCCATCTCGTCCTTTCCGAACGCACCCGTCATCTCATCGGTGCTGAAGACCTGGCTCTGATGAAACCCTCCGCATACATAATCAACACATCCCGAGGGCCATTGATCGACGAGAGCGCTCTGATTACGGCTCTGAAGAGTAGGACGATCAGAGGGGCGGGATTGGATGTCTACGAACAAGAGCCTGTGCGTGTCTGTTCTGTGCTGAATATCCACTGACCTCCGGCCCGTAGCTTCCACTAGAACATCCCTTGAGAAATTTGGTCGATGTGACACTCAGTCCGCACAATGGCTATGCCAACGACACGTCCTATCAGGTGGGCCGTTCGTGATCTCATGTTCCATTTGGGACTAATCAGCAGCAGGATTTCTGGCGGCAAACGGTTAGCATTCTATGATCTGCAATGCGAGACTGATTCAGCGATGTAGGTTGAGAACATTGAAGGGTTCCTGAATGGAGAGCCCCTCCGGATCGTCGAACACGGCCCAGCAGATACGCATGATGTGAAACCATAGCTTAGTTCGTTGCGAGGATATATGAGTACCTTACCTGAATAAGGCGATGCATTCGATAAGCTCAATACATGCCTGTTCAACTTGAATGTGATGGTATACAGTAGGGTACGCGTGCGTGACACACGCGTGTGTCACGTCACACATTTCTTTACATCTAACCACCACTCTCTGTGCCCACCAACATGGACAGCGGCGAATCCAGGACGATGAAGGCTCGTAGGGATGGTCAGATCTCTATCTAATAGCCGTCCAATCTCCCACTGACACGTCCACTCAGCCTACAAGAACAAGGGCGCATTCAAAGAGGAGGACCGCAGGAACCGTCGCAATGAACAGCAGGTCGAAATCAGAAGGCAGAAGCGGGAAGACAATGTTTCCAAACGTCGCACACTTCTGCCTGGTGGCGATGCTGAATCCGATGAGGAAATTGGGAGTGGCTCTTGGGAAGCTCCGGTCCGCACATTCCCATGGTACTTTTCGTGGGTGTGAAGCTCAAGTTTTGCAGCTGGCACAAGAGATGGTGAACAGTGTCTTCTCTGACGACCCGGACCGCCAACTCGATGCGACATCCAAATTCCGCAAGCTGCTATCTAAGGAAAAGAATCCGCCGATCGAGCGTGTCATTGAGTGTGGGGTTGTCCCCCGCTTCGTGGAATTCTTGCGTCAAGGACATTCTATGCTTCAGGTGCAACGATATCTGTCACATCTGGCTCATCGTTCTAATTGATCGGACGCAGTTCGAAGCAGCATGGGCCCTCACGAACATCGCGTCGGGGACTGCGGAACATACCCAAGTCGTGATTCATGCGCAAGCCGTCCCCGAATTCATCAATCTTCTGTCGTCGCCTACTCTTGACGTTCGAGAGCAAGCCGTGTGGGCTTTGGGTAACATTGCTGGCGATAGCCCCCAGTGTCGAGATTATGTCCTCCAGCAGGGTGCCCTACGACCACTGCTGACATTGTTGAGTGAACAGCATAAGTTGAGTCTTCTGCGGAATGCAACGTGGACTCTGAGCAACTTTTGCCGGGGTCGATCACCCCAGCCTCAGTGGGAACTGGTGAGTGTTGTGATCTTGCCCCAAGTGCTCTGACCTCAATGGGAACAGATCGCCCCGGCCCTGACGGTGCTCGCGAAGCTGCTATACTCTCTGGATGATGAGATCCTCATCGACGCGTGCTGGGCCATCTCATACCTGTCCGACGGATCGAACGACAAGATCCAAGCCGTGATCGAGGCCGGTGTCTGCCGTCGACTGGTCGACCTCCTCATGCACCAATCGACCTCTGTTCAAACGCCCGCTCTGCGCTCGGTGGGTAACATTGCAACCGGCGATGACCTGCAGACGCAGGTGCTAATCGCTTCGGCTGTTCTTCCCGCACTTCTATCACTTCTTTCTTCTCCCAAAGAAGGCATTCGGAAGGAAGCGTGCTGGACCATTTCGAACATCACCGCCGGCTCTCCGCACCAGATTCAGGCTGTCATCGACGCCAACCTGATTCCTCCCTTGATCAACATCCTGCAGAACGCCGACTTCAAAACCAAGAAGGAAGCGTGCTGGGCGCTGTCGAACGCGACGTCCGGCGGTCTACAGGAGCCGACACAGATCCGATACCTTGTAGCGCAAGGCTGCATTAAGCCTCTGTGCGACCTGTTGACTATGATGGATAATAAACTGATCCAAGTCGCTCTGGACGGCCTGGACAATATTTTGAAGATTGGAGAGGCCGACAAGGTTGCTGCTGGGCCTGGTGCGACGAACCAGTACGCGCAGTTCATCGAGGAGGCTGGTGGCATGGTCACTATCCACAACTTGCAGCAACATGAAAACTTGGATATCTACAAAAAGGCATTCAATATCATGGACAAATACTTCCCGGACGAGGAGGACATCGACGCGGCTATCAACGCACCTGCGGTTGATTCCACCGGATCTTTCGCAGTCCGTGATATCCCCGCTTTACCAAACTGCGTCTCACTTTTTTTCAGTTCCAATCGGAGGTTCAGGCGCCTCAGGGTGGATTTAGCTTTGGAAACTGATCGGATCTGGCATATGAATATACCGCACTGTAAATCAGTACACTATAATGTAGATGCTCTTGCTTATCAGTTTCAATCAATTTTCGCAAATCGCGATGAGTCACAGGTGTGATTCAGCCGTCACATTCTGCTTCTTGCTTTGAGCGTTTACCATGGACGGCGATTCGCGAACAACCAAGGCTCGTAGAGATGGTGAGATGCATTGCATTGAATCCATAATCGCGTCTCAACGCGTTACAGCATACAAGAGTAAGGGTGCTTTGAAGCAAGATGACTTGAGGCGCCGTCGGGAAGAACAACAGGTCGAGATCCGTCGGCAGAAAAGAGAGGAAAACATCTCAAAGAGACGGAATTTCCTTCCTTCTGGCAGTGCCGACTCCGATGAAGAAGTCGGTCCTGCTAGCTGGGACTCTCCGGTGCGTGGCTGAAAGAAACAATGCCAAGCCAATGCTCATTTGAGCTTGTAGCTCGCAGAGGACATGATCGCGGGCGTCTTCTCAGACGACGCTGATCGCCAGCTTGATTCCACCACCAAGTTCCGCAAGCTGCTCTCAAAGGAGAAGAACCCTCCCATCGAGCGCGTCATTGAATGTGGTGTTGTCCCTCGTTTCGTCGAATTTTTGCAAAAGGGACCTCCGATGCTGCAGGTCAGTATTCGTGGTTCTCTAGCGTGATCGTTGATGACAACGTGGTATCTAGTTCGAAGCCGCCTGGGCTCTTACTAACATCGCGTCGGGCACTGCAGACCACACCCAAGTGGTCATCAACGCGCAGGCTGTGCCAGAATTCATCAACTTGCTCTCGTCCCCCTCGCTCGACGTTCGGGAGCAGGCTGTCTGGGCTCTTGGCAACATCGCTGGAGACAGCCCTCAGTGTCGGGATTACGTCCTCCGGCAGGGAGCTCTGCGCCCTCTGCTGACTCTTCTCAGCGAGCAGCACAAGCTCAGCATGCTCCGCAATGCGACCTGGACGCTTAGCAACTTCTGTCGTGGCAAGTCTCCTCAGCCGGATTGGGATTTGGTGGGTCTCGCTTCGTCCTGTAAGCTCTGCCGCTCATTTGGCTCGTAGATCGCTCCCGCTCTCACCGTGCTGACCAAACTGATCTACTCTCTCGACGACGAAATTCTTATCGACGCGTGCTGGGCCATTTCTTACCTTTCGGACGGCTCCAACGATAAGATTCAGGCTGTGATCGAATCCGGAGTTTGTCGCCGACTCGTTGACTTGCTTTTGCACAACTCGACGGCTGTCCAAACTCCGGCGCTCCGTTCGGTCGGGAACATCGTGACCGGTGACGATCTGCAGACACAGGTCGTTCTTGCGTCGGGCGCACTTTCCGCGCTTCTGACGTTGTTGTCATCCCCGAAGGATGGCATTCGCAAGGAGGCGTGCTGGACCATCTCGAATATCACGGCTGGCTCTCCACCTCAAATCCAGGCGATCATCGACGCCAATATCATTCCACCATTGATCAACATCCTCCAGAATGCAGACTTCAAAACCAAGAAGGAGGCGTGCTGGGCGATTTCCAATGCCACATCCGGTGGATTGCAAGAGCCGGCCCAGATCCGGTATCTTGTGTCGCAAGGTTGCATCAAACCTCTTTGCGACCTGCTCACCATGATGGACAACAAAATCATCCAAGTGGCCCTAGACGGCCTCGACAACATTCTGAAGATCGGAGAGGCCGATAAGGTTGCTGCCGGACCTGGGGCAACGAACCAATTTGCCATCTATGTCGAGGAGGCCGGCGGGATGCTCACAATCCACAATCTCCAACAACACGAGAACTTGGACATCTACAAGAAAGCGTTCAACATCATGGACAAGTATTTCCCGGATGAAGACGATCTTGATGCTGCCATCAGCGCTCCTGCCGTCGATGCCTCTGGTGCTTTTGCGGTCCGTTCAGCTGTCTGTGGCACTGTTTTCGTCTCACCTGATCGTTTCATCATAGTTCCATTCGGACGTCAGTGCTCCCCAGGGCGGTTTCAGTTTTGGGCAGTAAATGTTACATTCGTCCCTTTACGCAGCGTGATTATAGCATTTGTATACTCTCATCATATAAACCAACCACTTACTGTAACGACATCGCTAAAAGTGGAGCCAAGCAGAGACAAATAGCCGATGCTCAGAGCGCGCACTACGACGCGCCTTCCTATTGCTCGTTTCCCTCACTCGGCGCGTTTCGCTCATTCAGCGCGCTTCCCACCCACCGCACCTAGATCCCGACCACCGCCTAAGGATGCCGGTCAGACGGTGGATCCCATCTTGTTTTCTCAGATCCGTCAGCGCATCGTTCAAAGGCACAATGCATCCACTGTGGAGGTCGATGAGGACCTTGTCAATCGAAGTATCTTCCAAATTACTTCTGCGCTGAAGAATAAGGATCTTTCCCTCGCTCGCCGCTCTTGGGAGGAGCTCGAGCGTGTGAAGTGTCTCCATTTTATTGGCCCACAGCTCTTGGAGGAAATCGCGAAGCTCGCTATGACGCACTCCCCTACCGACTCTCTGTTATCCCGGTGGAGCCCAGACGGACAAGAATTCGTCGAAAGCGTTGTGTTGGCTGCTGCCTCGCGCCGTTCCCTCTCCCCATTACAAAACTGTATGCTCAAATACCTCCAACGTGAAGACGCCAACGCAGCTCTAAAGCTGTACGCAAAATTCACGCAGCTTCACACGGAGTCGACTGCTTCTGATGTCGAGCCATTAGAGGAAGAGGTCGTGGTTCTCAAACCAAAGTCCGAAACATCGCCGTCGGACCTCTTCCTCGTCGTCGTAGCAGCTTATGCACATCTGGATGCATTCGAGGATGCAGCACGAGCCTACCTTGGTATGGAGCAGCAAATGGATCGACATTCTTACCACCCCATGTCGCGCCGGCTGCCTCTGAAAACCAAAGCGAAGTTTTTGTATTTCGTGCAAAGGCTCGACGTGGTCAGATCGGTCTCTCGACCCTTGACACTCTCGAAACACATCGACAATCTCTCGAAGCACCCGCAGTCAAATCGTGCTGCGCTCCAAGAGTTGTATGAGTCGGTGATGGATACCGTTTTGGAGCCCGATGCCTGTGTCGCGCCAGACGACGAGCGACGAACACCCACGAAGATAGTGGGCATGTCAGAGTTGATCTGGGCCTCGTTTCTGACCGCCTTTCTGCGGCGATCCGAGAACGAGATGGCGGCCAAGGTGTGGAAGCACATGACTCAGCTGGGAGTAAAACCCGGAATCTTAACGTGGAATCTGGTCATCGCTGTTTACGAGGACCGTCGGTCAGTCCGCGAGGCATTGGGTGCCTGGGATGCGATGGTGGCTCAGGGTGTACAACCAGACGGGGCAACATTTCGCTCAGTCATCTCTTGTTTGTTCAGCGCTCGTCAATCTGACGATGCGGTGAGGTGGTTCAAAGCGTTTGTCGAAAAAACTCAGAGCCGGTGCTCTCAGGCGCAGACGATCGCCATCTACAACGCGATGCTCCATGGTTTCCTCCAGGAGAAGAAGAACGAAGCCAAGGCGATGGAGTTATTCAGGCTGATGCTTGCCGAGGGGCCTGAACCCGATTTGGTCTCTTACAACACGCTCATGGGCTATCATGGACGTTGGGGCGATCTCAAGGCCATGGCTGCTGTTATCCAGGAGATGTCTGCAAAGCAAGTTGCCGGCGACGTGTTTACATATTCCACCATCCTCTCCGCTCTACTGAAGGTCGGCCGCACCGACGCGCCGCAGATGGTCATTGGAATCATGCGACGGCAGGGAGTGAAGGCCAATGTTGCCATCTACACTGCGATCATCGACGCCCAGATGCGAGAACAGACGGTCGCCAGTCTGCAGATCGCCATGAAGATGTTGGACGGAATGGAGAACGACCCCGACACAGCTCCGAACCATATCACCTACACCACCATTCTCGCAGGGCTATATCGCGGCACATGGCTCACTCCCGAACAAATCCAGCACCAAAAAGACGACATCGTGGCCCGGATGAAGAGAAGGAAGATCGTGTTGGAGCCGGGAGGATACAATATTCTCATCAATGCATGTCTACGATGGCCAGATTCGCAGGGGCTCGAGGAGGCGCTCTGGTTCTATCGCGATATGACACGCCGTCGAGTTCCACTGGACACTTCTACATGGTACATCTTATTGGCGGGGTCCTTGGCACGCGGAGAGTGGAAACTTGCCCGAGAGATTGCGGAGGACATGTTCGCTTCTAACATTCAGCCGACTAATAGCATTCTGCGATTAGTAGACCAAATTAGAGAGCGGGGAATACACCGATAACTGTTCGTCCTCACCTTGCAATTATCCCCAAATGAAGGCCTTGGTCAGGCCGTATTGTAAATAGCGGGTGTAAGCTGAAATGACTTGAGGCGGTCAAGAGACGGATGAAGGCACCGAACGAACCCCACATGCTCCATCGTCTCCCCAACCATTTTCCGAACAAGGGAAAGAGGACTATAGAGACGAGCTGATGCAGCTGTTCCAGGCTTTCCTCCCACTCCTTTTGCGCTAGGGCGTACTCCTCGTCTGAGTCGTAGGAACGCTGAGAGGACACATCTGAATCCACCGAGTCGGTGATGGAATGAGGCATGATGATGAAGAGGTAAAGCGTAAACACGCTACCGGCAGCATCGCGGCAAAAGCCGGCCTGCCAACACTAATGATTGCGCGCTCCACTTCATCTCTACCTCTCCCGCCATATCACACAGCGTGTCCGACATGCACTCCCACCGCAAACTGGGACTAGTGGGTCGGCCACTGCTCTATGCAATATCTGTCTTCGCCAGTCTCGGCGTCTTCCTGGTGCGTTGCGTGCTATTTCCGTCGGTCGTCAGACCTCTGGCTCACCGGCATGTAGTTCGGATATGATCAAGGGTAATGAGGAGTCTCGTTCTGGCCTTCCATTTGCTCATTCCATTGCTAGAGTCATGAGTGGTATTATTACCGGGCCCTACTTCATCAAATATTTCAACGAGCCTACTGCTATCGAACTGGGGATGATGGTCTCGGTGCTGGAGATCGGCGCTCTTTTCTTCTCTCTCGCCGCTGGTAGGGTCGGAGACATTTTCGGCAGGAAAGGGACACTGTTCATTGGGGCCGTCATTTTCACGGTTGGCGGGGCCATCCAAACCTTCACGGTCGGGTTCTGGTCTATGATCGTCGGGAGAGTTGTCAGCGGATGTGGTGTCGGGCTCCTGTCGACTATCGTTCCTATCTACCAGAGCGAAATATCCCCACCCAACCATGTGCGCCGTTCCATTCGGGCAGTCCTCCGTTGCTGAATAGCCATGAACAGCGCGGCGCGTTAGCGTGCATGGAGTTCACGGGCAACATCTTCGGTTACGCTTTCTCCGTTGTAAGTCTAGTGCCAATGATGCATTTTGGTACTCAAATACAGCCAGTGGACGGATTACTTTTGTTCGTTTATCGAATCTGATCTCTCGTGGCGCATCCCGCTTTTCATTCAATGCGTCATCGGTGCCATTCTCGCCATCGGGTCACTGGTGATGCCTGAAAGTCCTCGTTGGCTCATTGATGTCGACAAGGATGAAGAAGGCATGGGTGTGATTGCGGACCTCCATGGCGGCGATCCAGACAACGAGCTAGCGGTCGCCGAATTCCAAGAAATCAAGGAGAAAGTATTAGAAGAAGTGGGTATTTGCTACCCTCTTCGTCATTTTCTTTTGACTGTCTCAGCGCGATTCGGGAGAAGCACGATCCTACATGCAAATGTGGAAGCGTTATAAGCGACGAGTATTACTCGCGATGTCTTCTCAAGCGTTCGCCCAGCTCGTCAGTCCTTCTATTTGCATGATCACTTGTTGGTGCTTAAATCCCACTTAAGAACGGAATTAACGGTATGTTGCAACATCTGTCTGTTCATATTGAATTCGATCAATTGCCAGTAATCTCCTACTATGCTCGTCAGTCATGCTTTCTCCAGTGCCTAATGACTTGTTACTGATTGAACTCTAGCTCGAGTATTTGAAGGTATGGTCACATTTTTTCCTTCGTTCCTTTTTCAATTGTCATTGCAGAGGCCGGTTGGGTTGGCCGTGACGCCATTCTCATGACTGGCATCAACTCGATCATCTACATTCTAAGCACACTACCGCCGTACGCTCTATTTTCTGTTCGTATTCGGCGCCTGATCCATCAAACAGTTGGTATCTTGTGGATCGCTGGGGTCGTCGTCTCATTCTCATGTCTGGCGCCGTCATCGTACGTCCTCTCTCCCTCTAGATCCATGTTTGCGTCTGACATCATTCAGATGGCCATTGCCCTTGTTGCAACTGGTTATTGGCTATACATCGATGTCCCCTTTACACCTCAGGCTGTTGTCGCTTGTGTGATTATCTTCAATGCTGCCTTTGGCTACAGGTAGAGATTTCTTATTTTTCCTCGTCCCTCTTCCTCACCCGTTTCCCAGCTGGGGACCTTTGCCTTGGTTGTATCCCCCCGAGGTGCGTTCAGTCCGAAATTAAAGATGTTTCTCTAATTTTCCTCAGATCATGCCTCTCACCATTCGTGCCAAAGGTGTCTCATTGTCTACGGGTGCGTGCTCTGCTTCATTTCCGGCCTTCTTTCTTATGATGTCGCAGCGACTAATTGGTAACCTTCATGTCATGTTCTGGAGGATATCATTGACATCTGTTAGGGCCTTCAATTTCTGGGTTGGTGCGACTACACCAATTTTCCAGGAGCTGATAGAGTGGCGACTCTACCCGATGCACGGTTTTTTCTGTGTTTGCAGCTTCGTTCTCGGTGAGTGACGGCCCCTCATCATCGGATTTGGCGGAAACTGATTTCGGACAGTTTATTTCCGTAAGTTCTACAAAGCAACCCGTCGGAGGTATTGATTGTGCGCAGTTTATCCGGAAACGAAGGGGGTTCCGTTGGAAGAGATGGACGCTGTCTTTGGCGAGGGTGAGTTACTCAGCACAAGTCTTTCTCGCTGGTGCTAAGATCCCCACAGAAGACCGATTAGATAGTGAATCAGAGAGGGCGTCGATCATGGAGTCGGAGAGAGTAGATTCAGAGCGAGCCGCGCTGATAGCCTCGCATCGCTCTCCGAGACAAGGCTGGTTTGGCTGGCTCAAGCGCGAGAGCCCGGGACCTGCGTATGAGCGTGTGGCTGATGACGAGTAGGACTCTAATGGCACTCACCATTCATTCAACATGTAGTATCTCCTATCACTGCTAGCACCAGCATATCTATCCTACGCATATTCAATCTACTACAAATTCGATAACTGGAAGTTTCGAAGTTGTTGTTCGTTGTTGACATGCACACTTGTCGTAAAGCACTCTCTACTACACACCTCATGCTATAACTGCGCGGGTAGCATGCTTGGTCGTTACCAAAGCTTCCTCCCTCATTGCAGAATCCTCCGAAAGTCGTATCATGACTACGTCCGAGCAGGCAGTCCTGGTGGTCTAATCCGCGTGCCGCTCTCCTCACCCAAGGTAAGGGAGATTCTCTGGTGAAGCGCATGTGCCGACTCTGTGTCGCGTAGGTCATCGGGACTGCCACGTCGCGTGGAACGCGAGGGTGAGACTCGCATGCCACGTTCATTCGCACATTCTCGAGCTATCTTCCAAGGCAGCAAGAAGACTTCTATTCCTTCGCGACCCTGTCTCTCGATCCAAATGAACTCGCCCTGAGCGTCAAAAAAATGCACGGAGTGGTCTGGGATCCGTCTCGAGTCGGCGACGTCCTCGCACGCCAGGCCGTTCTCGTGGGGATATACGACGGGTGCGCATGCGCTGTCCACTACTTCCGCAGGGCCTTTTGACCGGACGTGATTCAGGCACGGTGGGTCCGGCGTCTCGCAGTACCTGCGGCAGGAGCTCCACGGTCTGGTGGAATCGGTGGATAAGTCGATGGTGCCCGAGTTGTACGACTGGATTCGCGAACTCGGGGGCTACTTCAAACGGTTCAAGGGCGGCGCGTTGATGCCATGGGTCAAGAAGAATGAGAACGCCCCGTTGTTGGATCTGGAGGCCCGTATGACCCTGGCCTTCTTTGAGGTGCGTCTATTTGGACCTTCGCACGCTGGATGCCCACTGGAGACTAGGTCGATCGAAATATCTCAGTGGATCCCATGGCGCAGAGTTGTGGTGCGACCGCGTCTGTGGCTATTCTACACTCCCTAGATGCACCCGCGACTCCCTTCTTCGCTGCAGATCGACTGGCCTTAACGTAGGTCGATCAATCTGAATTGCGCTGTGACATTGACCAACTCCGATCAGGGTTGCACATTGCGGGTGAGTGTGTGCGTGATGTGTCCCCTTTTTTGTTGTTCATGGCCTGTCTTCAGAGATACGCGGGTCATACTTTGCTCAACAGACGGAGGCAAAGCGATTCCCATGACGGAGAATCATCATGCCGATGCGCGGGTTGAGGCCATCCGTCTGCGGAGGATGATGGGCAGCGCATTGACGACTGACTCCTTTGGAGAGTCAAGGTGGGTCTCTGTAGCATTTCTGCAGGCCTCAATCTGACCACTCCAGATGGATGGGCGCTCTCGCCAACACACGATGGTTCGTCATCTGACCATGAGAAAGCGGTCCATGCTCATAATTACCTCAGTCTTGGTGACTTGCGATACAAAAAGTTTGGGGTGACCCCGGAGCCAGAAGTGCGGACGAAACTTTTGAAAGGTGCGGCTTGTGGTTCTCCGACTTCGGAGCTGGATGACCCATCTGCGCAGGTTCTGAGTGGGCATATGCTGTGCTTGTTTCCGATGGGATCTCGTCCATGTTATCGGACAGCGAGATTGTGGATCTTGCCAGAGGTGCTGCCGATCCGAAAGCCGCAGCAGAAAACATACTTTCGTTCGCTGAGGAGCTGGGCGGAGAGGATAATGCCACAGTCATTGTCGTGCCATTTGCCGGATGGGGAAAGGCAGGTATCTCATTACTTGCACTCTTTTCCACATTAACAAAGATGCAGATTCAAGGCCCCGACTCGACGAAAGACCTTAGAGAGTACCGCCGTCAACAATCTGGTATGTGGGATGTTATTTACATGATAGATATATTCCTTCTTACTGTTCCGTTACAGTTGGCAGTGAACGGCAGCGTCGTATGTGACCAGCCGTTTTCAACGTTAGATTTGGGGAGCAGCGTGACCATCGGCCCGCAAGTCGGAACCGGCCGCCCAAACGAAGCGCCCGGACGGAGCGTTGAGCTTCTGGATGACTTGCCCGCGCCCGAGCATCCCACGGCTGAATCCACTGGCTATCCGAGCGTCGTGTCCCATGGCTGCACTCGAGTACGTTGGTCACCGTTGTTAGTCATTCAGTGATCACTTGCCTCGCAATTGCTCAACCGTAGACTCTGGGATACCCTCCTCGAAATAGACTTCGCTGTTAATATCACCAGCGTTTCCAGTATTTTGGGATTGCGTGTCCGGACTGCCGGCCGATATGCAGAAGCGCGGAGAATCCAGGGCCGCTTGAGGGGTGAAGCCTCGCAGCATTCCTTGTAAGACTTGGATGTGGCCTTGAGGCTGCGGTAACTCTGAGCAACAGCAGCGGTCCTAGAAGTCACAATCGGAGCTGACCTGCATGAAGCCGCCCATGACTCCGTAACTCAGGAACAGCTCATCGCCCCGAAGAGCCATCGCGGGGATAATCGTGTGATAAGGTCGCTTGCCCCCGGCCAATCCGTTCGGGTGCTTGTCCTGCAGAACAAAGCAACTGCCGCGGTTCTGCAGCGTGAATCCGCAGCCCTTCGGAATCGCTGGCGACCGTCAGCAGTCTGATCTGCACAACTGCTTTCTGGCAACTGACCTCCTGTTCCAAATCCTGAGAAGAGTCAGCGCGCTCTGTCGGACCCGTCGCCTTGAGCTTACCGGCATAGTTGCTTTGGATGTAACTACAGGCGTTTCCCCATTGGTCGGCCACTGTCGCAATTTTCAGCGTCGATCATGCTAGCGACGAATGACGAACCCGTGAAATAGACAGTGTCACTGGAGTTCATCGGGTTGCCCTAAAGCGATGTCAGGCATCCACAGACGCACAGACGACCGACCTACATGAACGATTTCCGGATTCGTCTTAAGGGGGTTGATCAGTTTTGCCCGAGAAGCTAGATATTCCTGTATCGGTGAGCACGGTTGGATTGAATCGCAAGAAAGAGAGACCGACTTTGCTGAGAAGCTCCTCGACAGGCACTGGAACAACGTCTGGGTCTGACACATAGTACTGGGTGTCGGCGAACGCAAGCCTGGACTAACCCGTCAGCAAAAGTATAAAGAGCTATCTCACATCCGAACCTCAGGGCCTCGATCATGACATGCAGATATTCAGGGCCGTCTAGTCGTTCAAATGAATCAGATTCTCGTGCATGTCCAAGTCATTGGCAACGCAACTGTGCTCGAGCTCAAGCAATGGCTTGATAGCTCCCGATTCTTGGAGACTTTCCAGGATCCCCAACGCAACGAGAGCGGTGAGGCCTTGTCCATTGGGGGGACACTTGGAAAATATGAAGGGCTTTCATGGAAGAGCATTGGGATCCAGCTCACCTCATAGAGCGTCACTTCGTTCGCGTAGGTGTACTTGATCGGCTCAACAAAGTCGGTTTTATGCTTGGCGAGATCCTCCAGCTCCATCACACCGCCCTTGCTCTGGATGAGCTCGACAATGGCTTCGGCAACGCGCCCCTTGTAGAAGCCGTCTTTGCCCTGCTCGACCAGCTGCCTGAAGGTCCGCGCGAGATTGGGCAGCTGAATGATCTGCCCCGGCAGAGGAGCCTTTCCATTGAGCAGCATCTCGTTGCCGTTGGGGGAGGCATTCTTGATCAGATTCTGTGTGATCCGGTGAGAAGTGTCCAGGCCGGGACCGGAGAGCAGACGATTGGACTCACTTCCGATCTCTGCCATGACACGCTGTGGATCTCAGAAACGGGAACTCTGCAAGAACGTGAGCTGGACGGATCCGGCTGGACAAACACCATACTTGCCCTTCCTCGGCGAGACGGATTGCGGGGGCAAACACATCTGCCGTGGTGACATTCCCGCTCCCCAGTTTCTCGACAGTGTCGATCCAGGCCGCCGCCGCACCTATATAACGTCTCATAATGACGAGGGAAGCGGTGCGGCATGGACTGCGTACCCGGGACAGTCACCGAATTGAGATCAGTCAAAGGAATTGACCCTCCGGTTAGTCCGCGCCCTCGCGCGTATTCCAAAGTCAGTTTCTCTGGAGAGCGACCGGATCTAGGGGAGAACGTTTGAGAAGGGACATTCGAATATGCCGGAAAGGCGCACCCGTTCAGAGCCTTCACAGTTTTGGTCTTCGCATCGTAGAACAGACAGAACGCGTCGCTGCCAACGAAATGAGGGACATGGGAGGACAATGGGGAGATGTATCGCTGACCCGCCGATCCCACAGCAGCTGGGCTCCGTTACGTTCAAAGCGGCCGAAGTTCTTGGAAGTATGTCAACTCAGTCCTGACCATCGCTTAGAGGAGTGCGACGCACGCGACGGCAGCATCAGCTACAGGCCGTGAGCCACAGAAACACAGGAGGACAGCGACAAACCGGCGTTTCCTCCCTTGTTCAGGATCTCCAATCCAGCTGCGACTGCCAGGGGCTGCGAGGCAGCGACGATCCCTTTGGTGCTATACACGACGGAGCGCCGGCTGTGGAAGCGCTCGAGCACGGTCTCAGGGTTGGCCACCTTCTCCCAATCGATCTTGATGCTGGACATGGTGGTTAGTAAGAGAGAATATCGGGGTGGGATAGTGGATCCCTTTCGCGGGTCTCGGGGACCCGTTATCAGCGTGTTATCAGCGCCATCGGCCGGGTTATCACTCGTGGTCACGGGGTCGTGCTCTCATTTATCCGGACCACCAGGGATCACTACGACTGCGAAGTGCTCGCCCGTCTGCCCACAATGGATCCCCAAACCGCCGCGAGACTGCAAGTCGTATCCGAGGAGTACCAGAAGCTGCAGGGCGATCTTTCGAACACGGTCGAAGCGCGTCAGAAATTGGATGCGCAATTGGGAGAAAACGAGCTGGTGAAGAAAGTGCGGAACCGCGATGGGCTCTGATTAGAACTGCTCATCTCATGCGCGCGCACCAGGAATTCGACCAATTGACACCCAACGACGTGGTCTACAAGCAGGTCGGGCCTGTCCTCGTGAAGCAAGATCAAGCCGACGCCAAAAACAACGTACAAACCCGGCTGGAGTTCATCAAGAGCGAGATGTACGCATGCTTGAACTGACCGCTCCGACGACTCCCATTCAATCGATTCCGCGCAGTAAACGGGTAGAGACGCAGTTACAGGATATTCAAAACAAGTCGAACAGCAAGAAAAACGAGGTGTGTTTCTCAGCCCAGTATTACTCGTTCTGCTTCATATTGTACCACTCCTAGCTTGTCGAGATCCAAGCCGCCTTCCAGCAAGCCCAGCAGGCCGCCTCTCCGAATACGACCGCGCCAGCCATCACGGCATGAAGAGGGGCAGCCTTTCGCGCAGAGGGAGAGTGGATTAAGCTTTTGGGGGGATCTCTGCGACGGGTGCTGCTGCTGCTGCGTGACCGAGCGCCGCCCTGCGGGCTTCCCGTTCCTTCTCCGGACTCTGCAGCACCCGCTCGAGTCTGAAGTGTTTCGTCTTGGTAATGCGAGGGCAGTTGCGAATTAAGACCACGTCGTCCATGCGTAAGGCTGGCGGTGCGCGCGCGCGTAGTTAGTGCTGGCGAAGCGCCGGATACGTCCGACTCACTGTTGTGTTCATCATGCGTGTGATACTTTTTGGACCTCTCCATTCGCTGCAGACAGTTCAGAATTTGGAACAGGCGTTTGCCGTGATGCTCAGCACCTTGCCGGTCAGCTTGTGGGACGCCCAACGTGATACCAACACAGTGGCCGTCTTTTGCATGCGGCCCACTCTGATGACAGTCCCTTGCAGAGCTAACGGCGGCATGGTAGTGGAAAGCGGCGAGTGAGAATGTCACGTCACATGTCACGGTGTGATGGCTCATGATGGCCAGTGTTCACCTGTCCGCTTAGGCCAGCAAAGTGGGAGAAACGGGCAGAACAAGGCGGATGCGGAACAAATCTAACGAATGTGTGCTATGTAATATACTGTATGAGAGTCTCGGGAATACCGTGTTGCTGCTCAGGTCGGCGCATGCCGAGATTTTGAACGAAGGTAGGGACCATACCTGTCATTGTTAGAGCGGGGGTCAAGGATCGAGAAGAGACGCGGACCTGATGAGAACGATGGGCACAGGAACCATGGCCAGCGCGACAAAACCGAGCACCGACGCAGCCCACTGGGGGCCAAGGCCATCGAACATCTGTGTTGCGAAAAGCTAGATAAGAGTCAGCGACTCAGAAGCTAGTACAGTGATGTTGACGATTCACTGGAAAGACAGCACCGAAGATGGAGCGGATGATGGTGTTTGCCGCAAGAGCTGTGGCTGCGACATGGAGATATGTGTCTGCGAAGACTTGAGTACGTACTCTCTCTAGCAGCCGCGCATCCGATATACCTATGATATAATTGCTGACCCGGGTCATTCAGCTACGTCACTGTGCTTCGAAATTTCACTGACAAAAGAGAGAGCTTGCAAACGGAGTCAGCCGTGAAAACTTGATTGCATGGGACCAGTCTCACGAAAATGCCATTGATAGCAAGTCCCATAATCCCTCCAGACATCATGGGAGCCCACAGGCTGATGCTAGGATATGACGTCCATCTGTGTTGTATTTAGGCAATCAGAAAAACATGGGGACGTCGGGATCGCTTACCCAAACCAAAAGAACGATATCGCGTATAGGGGAGCAGCTAGCAATGCTGACGATGTCCATCAGCTGTTATTCGAGTAAGATCTGGTTCTGCTCACTCATTTCTAGACGGAATTCCGGAGGAACGGGAGCCGGCGCAAGCTCCGCCACTTTCTTCTCGTAACGCGGGTTGAAAACAATAATCGAGAGCATGACACCAGCGACACCACCGAGCAAGATTGGAAAGAACGTCAGGCCAGACACGCCAGGATTCAAACCATGGCCTCGTGTGAAAACAATCGGATATGCCTTGCACCCATTTGTTAGTATGATGCGGTCATTTACGAAGCACTATGCACCTCGAATAAGAGATATAGGCATCTGAAAAATGAATCATATGCTTAGGAAAAAACAAAGCAAACTGGCATCCAGACCGACCCATAAACGAAGCTCATGTAAAACGTGAGGACGATCAGCATAGGCTAAGATGTCATGTTATCATAAGCAATCAACAAACATACGTGGGGATAAAAACAGACCTCAGTCCCCAAGACCTTGAAAGGCCGAGCCACGATGCTTTCAAATCTCTCTGCCATCGAAACTTTGGCAGTTTCGAGGCGAGCATAGTATTTAGCATCGCCTGTTTCATCCCGCTTCTTTGCAGCCGCAGCCACCAAAAGGACCGGCCTGTAGCAGCATTCGAGACGACGAATCAATCGCAGCCAAATGCCCTTACACATATGTTTCCGGGACGGTAAAAAATGCCAGGATAGTGCAAACAGCTGCCTAGAAATTCGTGAGGGAGTTCCGGCGGATGCTCGCAGAGGTAGCCCATACAAAGATAGCTTGGATCTACGTGTCGATGTCAGCCGTTGTGACGCTCGTTCTAAGCGTCTCACACGCACCCAAAAGATCCAGTGAAAGTCTGTGCCTATAGGAAGTCAGCGGATGCGCAGCTGATGATCGTGGGAGGACAAACCGGTCACGGCGATGAATCCTGCTACGGTTGGGCCGACAGCGGGGCCTGAGTCCGGTTACGGACCATACCACTCAGTGAAAAAGAACTTGCCAGCAAAGGGCGCTAGGGTAAAAAGAGCTAATGCCTTGCCTGCACATACTGGTGAGCACGTCGACGGCGCGTAAACGAATGGATATGAACCTCGTGTGCTGGCATCCCACACATCGGCAATGATGGCACTGAACACTCACGTTCAGCGGCGATCGATCTGGCTGAGGGAAGCGCATCACCCCGAATTGGTGAGAGGAGCGGCAGCAAACATCCCGCCGATAAAACGGAAGATCAGAAGTGAGGCTGCGTTGTTCGCCAAGGCCGCAGCCACTTGAAAGATCTGCAGGCACGCTTTGAGTAAGATCATCCCGGGGCACTGACTCGGAACGTGCCGTATATATAATAAATGGATAGATCGCAATAGGCCGCCTTCCCAGTTGTTCACTTAAAGGTCCCCAGAGCATAGGCCCCACGATATAACCAGTCTAGCAGCATGTCAGGGAGACGCAGTCATCACAGATGCGGCGGAGTCTGACGATGAAAAGAGAGAGGGCCAAAGTCGTCCCCTCTGCCGAGAGATGGTAATGCTCTGCCAACAGAGGGGCGATTCCAGAAGCTGACATGATCCCATGAATGATAGCTAGCCGCAGGAAAGGATTGGACTGACGCGCAGCGCTCGCGAATGTTCTGCAAGTAAATCTTGAGCAACAGCACACACAGATGTGAATCAGCTCACGCATTCAGTACCAAGAGGCCTGAGAAGACGGTAAGATACCTGTGCATGCCACCGGGACTGTCAGATAGAGCTGACGTAGAGCAGTTCCGCGCACCATCGCTGCAGCTTGCTCCAGTTCTTGATCGAGGCGTTAAATTCGACGAATGAACATTCCAACGGTGTGGCATAAATACCTGTGGATTCGCAGGGTCTCCCTCTTCGAAAGAATCTATCAGATAAGGATCGTAGTCGGGTTTCTCGTCCGAGCCGGGTTGCTCTAGGTAATCCTCTGCTGTGGGCTGCATGGTGGATTCCGCGCCCGAACTTTCCATGACAAATTCGGGCAAGCTTTATCCGGCGGCTGGGCCTCGTATAGATCATGACAGCCAACATGCTCAACCATGACGCTTAGACAAAAGTCTGGGAAAATCAGTCATACGAAGAATGTCACTGAGGTCATGTGCACGGTGTCACGCGCCCTACGCGCCTCTGCCATTGCATCCGACGTCCGATAGCTCGCACCCGTTTCCTCAATGGATTTCACTGAAGTGTACAAACACTCTGGCGCCAACGTGTCTTTCAGTCATGGATCCCACCTCATACTTACCGCTGTCCATGATCGACTCGTACTCCGACGCGCGGACACTTTCCAGATCATGCGAACATGGCGGATCGACGCGTCCCCAACTCCAACCCACCTCCTGACCGCTGCAGTCAGGCCAAAGAACAGCTCACAGGAGCACCTCATATCTCACATCGGATGGTCGTGTGATTCTGAATACGTGCTGGCGGCTTCCGCGAAACTGGGAGCCGTTCAGATCTTCAAAGTACAAGATCCTGAGTGGTCGGCGCGGATCGAATGCGGTGCTGAAGGTGCGCAGATATTTATAGGACGGCACAGTGGACGGCATTGAGAACAGCATGGAGGCCTTGTCAAGGCACAATGGGCTCCCGATGGCCGCACGGTGCTGTGCTTCTCTCAATGGGGGGTGAGTTCGCATTGACTCCGCGCGACAGGAGTTGTGATGTTCGTCTCTAGCTCAGAGTGACTGTGTGGTCCTTAGTGTCGGGGACCGCAATATACATCCAATTTCCGCTCCATCCAGACACGGGCTACGCGTTCAGAGCTGATGGTCGATACTTCGTGCTGGCGGAGAGGCACAAATCAAGAGACACGATAGGCGTCTATGATACAGAGCAGGAGTATAAGCTCGTCCGCGTTAGTCCGATCTGTCTACCTTCCACCAGGTATGCATTGAGTCTTGTGCAGCATTTCCCGTCGCCGACGTCCTCACTGGCGGCGCTAGCATTGTCTCCTAAGGGGGACCATCTCGCCGTCTGGGAAGGTCCAACGGAGGCGAGTTCTTCTTATCAATTCTGAGATCGAACATATTCTGACGACCTTGAAGTACAAGCTGTGCGTTTTGTCGTTGACAGGATCTGTGCTGGGCACGTTTTGCCCAGAGCCCGATCCTGGATTGGGGATTCGCCGGGTTGCCTGGCACCCGAGTGGCATGTTTCTTGCAGTCAGCGGCTGGGACGACAAGGCTAGCCAATTCGTCTTAGTGCTTGGACGTTCTTGACTGATCTCACACAGATTCACATCTTGGACCTCACTTGGACTGCTGCAGTGACTTTTGAACTCTTGTCCAGAGTGCCTGCTGGTGTTGTATGGGACACGAGATTCTCTGAGATGAGTGCTGATGGAGAGGCAGACTATCTGGCGAGAACCATCTAGGTGGCAAGAAGCAACAGAGGGACGGGGATTCTTGTCCTGTGCAGAAGCCTTCATCATTGCACCCAGACACCTGTGCTAATCAACATTACAGACGAACGTTTGACTGGCTCTCACTCCATCGTCGTTCAGAAACCCGATGCCACAAAGCCCAATCCTAAGAGCGGCACTGTGCAAATGGAATGGAATGCAAGCGGGACACTTTTGCTCGTCCGCTTCGGTCGATTCACATCCTTGCGCACAAATTTGTTGGAACTGACTATTTTGCAGAAAGTTCGCCTACTGTTGTCCATTTATTCGATTTTCCGGCGTCGGGTACTCCAAGATTACGGTCGGTGCTTATCCACACTAGACCCGTCGCACATGCGCGGTGGAATCCCGCGAGGAAAGGGAATCTGGTCTTGTGCTGTGGTAGTCGCAGTCTTTATTCCTGGAGCGATGAGTGGCAGGGCCAACACGGGGAGGAAGAGATGGCAGAGTGCATAGGGGTCCCCGCCAGTGCGTCTTTCATCTATCGGGCTGGGAGGTCTTTTCACATTCTGTTAATAGAGAGCTTCGAGACTCGCGATTTGAGATGGACTCTGGACGGAAAGGGTGTGGTACTGCTAGATAAAGAAGTGTTCTGTTGTGCTTTCGAGGTCGACGAGCCAGATCCATGACACCTGACCGCTGAGCTCATCTTCTTTACGATCCCCCGATGTACTTGCGTGTGTGCTACATTTGTCACGATTTCGGCCCATGTCGGCCATCAGTCAGCCAACATACGCGTCAATTTCATCTTGCTTCATCCCTCATCTTGCATGCTTTCTCGGTCACTCAGGGCAGCGCGCGCTGTTCGCAGACCTATAAGGCTCACCGCTTCATATTCGTCCCAGCATCGTTCCACTCCGCCCAAGAACGAACGCACGGAGCCGAAGGAGGAGCAGGAGCAGGACTTGCCGAAAGACCTCGAGGGTTTCTTCAAGCAGCAGCGGCCTTCACCATCATCCAAAGGCAATTCTTCCAATCCAGATTCGAAGAACCGAAACTCTCGTTCTCCCCCTCCCCCTCCTCCCCCTAATAACAACTTCAATTTTTCCAACACCCAGCTCGCATGGCTAGCCAGCGCTTCTATCGCCTACTTCATCTATTCGAGCTCTAACTCATCCTCGTCCCGCGAAATCACCTGGCAGGAATTCCGTGCGGCATTTTTAGAGAAAGGATTGGTGGACAAGCTGGTCGTCGTCAATGGGCACAAGGTCCGGGTCAAGCTCCATTCCAATGCGACAGGGACCATGTACCCGACCAATGCCAATTTCGGCGCGGCAGACTACTTTTTCTCGATCGGAAGCATAGAGGCTTTCGAGCGAAGGCTGGACGAGGCCCAAGCCGAATTGGGGATTCCGAGTCACGAACGTATCCCGGTCGCTTACCACGACGAAATCTCGGCGTGGCAAGCAGCCTTTGACTTCGCCCCGACTATCCTCACGATTGGTTTCCTTGTATGGCTCTCGCGTCGGGGTAGCGGAAGCAGCGGTGGAGGCATCTTCAGCATTGGAAAAAGCCGGGCCAAGCTCTACAACAAGGACACCGACGTCAATGTCAAGTTCAGGGACGTTGCCGGAATGGACGAGGCCAAAGAGGAGATCATGGAGTTTGTCAAGTTCTTGAAGGAGCCCGCCAAGTACGAGAAATTGGGTGCCAAGATCCCGCGTGGCGCCATTCTGTCTGGTCCTCCGGGAACAGGAAAAACGCTCCTCGCAAAGGCAACTGCGGGTGAGGCGTCCGTTCCGTTCCTGTCCGTCTCCGGATCCGAGTTCGTCGAGATGTTCGTCGGTGTCGGTTCATCCCGTGTACGAGACCTCTTCGCCGATGCTAAGAAACATGCCCCTTGCATCATCTTCGTAGATGAAATCGACGCTATCGGCAAGTCTCGTTCCAAAGGTGGCAATTTCGGTGGCAACGACGAGCGAGAGTCGACGCTGAATCAGCTGCTTGTGGAGATGGATGGCTTCGGAACTCAGGAGCACGTAGTTGTTCTCGCTGGAACTAATCGACCGGATATCCTCGACCCGGCACTACTGCGACCCGGTCGTTTCGACAGACATATCGCCATCGACAGACCGGATGTCTCGGGCCGTAAGGGTATCTACATGGTGCACCTTCGCCCCTTGCGCTTGCACGAGGCCCTCTCAGACAAGGATGGCTTTGCGCAGAAACTTGCTGTTCTGACGCCGGGTTTCTCTGGAGCAGACATCGCCAATGTCTGTAACGAGGCTGCTCTGCATGCTGCGCGGAAAGGGTCCGAGTACGTCGAGTCTGTGGACTTCGACACGGCTATCGAACGCGTTATCGTCGGGTTGGAGCGCAAGAGCCGTGTGCTTAGTCCTGAGGAGAAGAAGACGGTGGCCTACCATGAGGCTGGGCACGCCGTCTGCGGATGGTTCCTTGAGCATGCCGACCCCTTGCTGAAGGTCAGCATCATCCCTCGAGGCACGGGCGCTCTCGGATACGCGCAGGTATGCGTTTCTGCCCTCTCCCAATGATCCTAGTCTCATGCTTGCTACAGTATCTGCCTGCGGAGCGCTACCTGATGTCGACCCCTCAGATGACTGACCGCATCTGCATGACTTTGGGAGGCCGTGTTTCCGAAGAGATCTTCTTTGGAACGGAAAACATCACTTCGGCGCGCAGGATGATTTGCAGAAGATCACCCGCATGGCCTTTGAAGCGTGTGCCAACTACGGCATGAACGAAGTCATTGGTCCAATCAGCTACGGCGGTGCCCATAGGTCGAACGACACATTCACCAAGCCATTCAGCGAGAAGACCGCTGAGATGCTCGACGCTGAAGTGCGGAAGATGATAACGTGAGCGCTCTGCCTTTCTCTCTCATCTCTCGCTCATCGGAAACCCAGGATTGCTTATGACCGAACACGGAACCTACTAACTGAACATCGGGAGGATGTCATCAAGGTGGCGCAACTGCTTTTGGAGAAGGAGAACATCACTCGGTGGTTACACTGGCCACCTCTCCGTTCTCCTTCTGACAGTCTTCCAGCGAGGATATGCTCAATTTATTAGGAAAAACGTCCTTCGATCGCGCTGATGAAATGGATAATGGTTGGATGAGCATCGCAATGGTCAGAAGTCGGCGCCTCCTCCTCTAGAACCCAGAGATCCATCTGAGATCGAGGTTGGCCGGCCGGCTCCAGGCTGCGGCTGCGACGAAGGTAGATGTACTTCGGTTTTGAACTCCGTAGATCGCTTTCGATGCAATCTTGTATCATTGGGTATAACTATATTAAGCCAATCCCATATCGTCAGAAGTACATGACCTGAAAGCGGCGCATCAGACATTTCCAACTCATCTTTCTCTGCCATCATGTCCCTCGAGCCTGGATATGGCCACATACAGATCGACCTTCAGGGCAGGAAGCTGTATTCACTTAAGATGTCCTCGACATATCCCCTCAAACTCTTATCGCCACGCCTGTCCCACATTCCCGCCGTCGGATTGGTCTACATGCTCAGGTTACGGCGGTGGATGGTGGAGTGGAGATCGCGTAAATTTGCAAGTCCGG